TCGTTAAACCACGCAAGATTTACTTTAACTATTTTTCCAGGTTTGTTAGCATAAAGTCGTGATATTGCCATTCTCTGTTTGCTGTATTTATCGTCAATTATAATTTTTGATTTAAAGGAAGCCTTTCTCTTGATTAAAATTGATATCGGCCGACAACTTTCTTGCTTATCTTTAGGATTTCCAGTTTGCGTATCTCATTGCCTAGCAGCTTCACACATGCTAACGTTAACAGACACAAACATAGATGGGGGAATTACTCATTCGACTAGTGCTAGTTAATTAAAGTTGCACTTAATTATGGGTAAAATGAAAGCAAACATTGAGTAAATAATTCGTTTCGATATTAAGAACCTTGGTACTTTATTCTTCCCGAAAAGTGTTCGGAATTGACATATCGACCATGCACTGATGCCGTAAAAAACGCGAAGATACAGGAACTTGTCGATAGGTAACTCTCTTTTGACAACTGGAATTTGGTGTCTGCTTTTTTGACGAACGTCTGAGGTGAATATTCTTTTGTTAAGTGATATTTTGTTTTCTCTTTCAAGACGAAAAGGTTTATGTAAGTAGGTTTACCAAGAATTGAATTTCTGGAATGCGTTTCACACACTGTGATTCGGTTGGTAACAATTCCCTGATGTTGGCTTTGCTCTGGTTTTGATGCTAGATAACTCATGGAGTCATGTAAGTTGTGTTTGAACGAACTGATAGTACATTCAATGTCACAAATGTAGTAATGGCATTAAATGACCGCATCGTACAAAAAGTTAATGTCGTTAAATGCTAAACCATAATTTAGTGCTGTAAATTTGCTCCCTTGACAACAAGGTATCGAAATTTATCCAAGCATTTTATCATAGGCCTATCAAACTTCTTGAATCGAAGCCCTTCCCAAAGCCAGCTGGCGACATTTTTTTTCCATGTTTTTTTTTTTGTTTTGTTTTGTTTCTTTTTTTTTTAGTTTGCGAGGATTAATCCTTCTTACGAGCGCTTGTTTGTACTTATGAATTACCTTTCCAGGATTTTACTACTGTTTGAAACAAGAAATCAATTAAAAAATGCCCAAGTAATAAGAAAAGCTACGAGATCCGAGCTAGAACGGAGCCACAGATCCTAGAAGGCTATACATGTAATATGTTGAGAACGTTCTATCAATTATTAGACCTGGTCTTCTCTATTTTTTAGCCCTAGCACCCAAGGAGATTTTATTTTTTACGCTTCAGTATCAACTCATGTTACTAAAAAAATGTCTCAGAGCTCGTGATCACGCGTTCTACTCCTCATCACTTCTTTTGCTTCTAAAATAATCAACCGGTATGCTCGTAGCAGCCGAGGTTCTTTACCTTCTTGTCTACCTTGTTGTTGTTTACTGTTCATTTAAATTGGCTCTGAAAGGTTCAATGGCATTATAGAGTGGTCAATGAACATATTTATCCACAGCCAAAGCAATATAACTCAAGATATACTTATTCACGAAGAACAACGTCCAGTATGGACAACAGCATCAATCATCCGGTCCATTGGAGCTCGCTTCTGTCTTCTACCTAATTGACTTGGGAAAGTATAAGACAAGAAAGTCACCTTATGTTCGCCCAGCCGTTCGTGTCCCCGTCAGTCATTCAGCCAAGCTGTCACTCAGTCCATCAATCAGTTACGTAATCAGCCAGTGAGTCAGCCAGTCGTCAATTACGAGTTCTAGAAGCGTTAAGCCGTGGATCTGACACATTGGCGAAACCCAACGTGAATAGCAAGCACCTTTTGTTTTGGTCAATTTACAATAGGTTGCTGAAAATGGTATATTTTTGTTTTAGGTAACAAAGTGGCCTTGTGAGTGTACTTGTGCTCATGGATTCTGAATCAGTTCAGGCTGTTATAGTAACGGTACTTTCTGTCCTTGTCATCGTCGACATCATCGGAAACTCCCTTGTTTGTGTGGTCATTACAAGGAATCAAGACATGAGGTATGTCGAGACTACAATGTCGATAATCTAAAGAGATTGCGACCTAAATTTTCCCCTTTATAGTCTATTTGTCTCGTGCGTGCGAAAAGTATCATTGCCAGACACCAAAGTGAAAACATACAAAGCAACGTCCGTGGAAGGACTATACAACAAAGCCGAAATTTCACACATATTTTCACAGGCAACTGCTCCAAGGCAGCTCTCAGGCGATATATGTCTATTGTCGGATGATTTTACATGTATAAACTCATTTGATACTGCAAGTTGTAATTAACGCATTGTAACTCATTTAATTCATTGGAATTGTCACGTGTTCTGTACATTAGCAGTTCATGCATTAACACTTTACCAATCCGCGGTCTCCAGCAATCGATACGGAGCTTAAGCAACGACGACGGCGACGCCGAGGACGACGCCTTGTCAGAAGTATAGTTGTACTTTACCAGTGAAACTCGAAATCATCTAGATCTGCTCAGTACGCCAATGGCTTTAAAAGCGTGCTCAGACTAAATATGCAATCAGGCGCTCAATTCCAAATGGAAATACGAAGTATTAGCCGTGGTCGGTCGCGTTCCTCAGACTACGCAGAACTTAGCAGATTCACGATCTTGTTTTGCAGAGGACGGAAAAGAAATGACAAAGATTTTTTATCACAATTGCTAATAATCTCGCAATCTGATTGGCTAATATACCGTTGTCGATAAGAGTCCAGACAACGCTGCTCGCATCAATTTGTCACGCAATGCCTTTTTCAGCTCGCGCTCCGAAAGAAACATTTTCCTTGACGTTTATATTGGGGTAAAAAATAAATAAATAAATAAAAACAAATCAAAATGTGGTTTAGCGTGGTCTGTACTCGTATCGACAACGATACGCGTCATCACAGTGGTCAAAATGCTATGGATTCACGAGGCGCAGCCGAGTGAGTCCACAACATTTTGAGAGTCTTTTGACTGCTGTGATGACGCGTATCGTTGTCGATAAGAGTACAGACCAGGCTAAACCACATTCGATTTGTTAAATAACGCACGTGCACAGCACGGTTAATTGTTGTGCTGATTAAACTTTTTGTTTGGTGACGTTCTCGTTCTCGTTCTCGTCGTTGTCGCGGTTTGCGCTTCCTATTAGTTATTAACTCCTTATGCCATTTATCAGGATTCCAATCAACTATCTGCTTGTAAACTTAGCCGTGGCGGACATGATGGTGGCAGTATTTTTTGCGCCTTTCCACATTTTCATCCACACGTTCAACCATCCAGATGGTGTCCTAGGCAGAGTTTTATGCAGTTTGGTGACGGGTGGAGGCTTCGCATGGGTTGGAGGTGCTTGCTCCGCATTCACGCTGGTTGCTATCGCGATTGAACGTTACTACACGGTGAATTATCCTCATGGTAACAAAGGAAAACTCACCAATGCTAAATTGAAGGTGTAGTCCATTGACGTTTGTTACTGCTAATGAGGTGACTGAGTGTGATTCGTTTCAGGTGCCATGGCCTAAGAGAGAGAAAAAAAATCAATATTAAGCTTAGTTTATATGTGGCAATATAGCAGTATTCAGATTTTTTTGTTTTCCCCTAGAGACTGAAAACGCTTCTAAATAAATCTTAATAAGACCTAAGGACATGTAATCAAGAAAAAATGCATTTAGCAAGTGTTTTTATAGTTCTCAGTCGATCAGTCATACAGTCAGTCAGTCCGTTCCGTCCGTCAGTCAGTCAGTAGTCTGTCTGTCAGTCAGTCAGTCAGTCAGTAGTTAGTCGGTCTGTCAGTCAGGCAGTCAGTCAGTCAGTCAGTCAGTAGTCAGTAGTCAGTCATTCAGTCAGTCAGTCAATCAATCAGTCAGGCAGTAAATCAGACTGACAGTGTTGTCTCATGTTTCTCAATTGTCATATACAGCTGATTGAAAAACCGTTGTGGGATGAAAAGTATAGCCCATAAACGATGCGTATGCATAATCATCAACATTTAAGATTTCATTGTTTCCTCTTGTCATTAAAATGTGATTTAGAAAAACTTGGAAACTGTCCATGCCTTCCCAACGGTAGGTTAGTTAGAAAACAAAGGAAAATTTACATTTACAGACATTGCGAGCAATCCTGCGGTCACTTCAATATCATAACCTTAAGGTAGTAATAAAGTCTTACAGCTCGCATGCTCTTCTCGTAAACCGCTTTAAAGCATGTACACAGTCCGTAAGAATGCAAATTAGTAATAGTTTTCAAGTTTCCCAGAAAACCACTGTCTATCGTTCAGCGTTTACACTTTTTCTTGATTACGTTTTTTTTTTTTAAATAGGTGTACACAGTAAAAGCAAATCATCATCTTGTACTTGATATTCCATTTCACGCAGGTGATCATTCCTGCCTCTTGGATTTTCGCATTGACCATGGAAATGCCAGGCTTCCTCAGTTTGGATTTTGACAAGACGCTCTCTTCCTGCACCTTGGCGTTCAGTAAAGAGTGGATGGGGAAGGCTTACAGCGTCGTTTGGTTTCTGGTGTTTGGAGGCCTACCCATACCATTAATGGCTATTTTGTACTCCACAGTGGTGTACAATCTCTGGTTTAAACGCAACGATCAAAGTACACTTACCTACCAACAAAAGGTACAAGCAGACTGAGGTCTTAATATGAAAGAGGAAAACTTTCGCATGTTCAGTTAACACTAAATGTGATCTCAATTACTTTTTTTCATGAAGATCGGTTTCGTTTTTACAGCAAGCGCTCGGGAAGTTTTTTTTGAATTTGCTATTTAGTAAACTTTGAGAAATTCTTACCTGGTGATTGCGTCGTCAATGTGTTACTTCAGTTGTTTTAGTTAGTTTATCTTTTCGATTCCAATTTCGATTACAGTGTGACGTGAGTTAATCGGTAAGTCTTTTTCTGAAAATTAAAACTGACCCAAGGATAGCTGCATCGTTTCATTTTTTATATGACTAACCAATCGAAATCGCTATCCCATTCTTTCAGGGAGTACTAAAGGTGCGTAAACGCGTTACATTGATGGTGGTAACCGTCAGTATCATCTTCTCAATCTGCTGGATGACTGACGCAGTTATCTTCCTGCTGAGCTATCACAGCACCACTAACAGTCCAAGCGATGTCACTTGGACCATTGCCGCTGTAATGATCCTGCTCAATTCAGCCGTCAATCCCTTTGTCTACGGCTTAATGAGCCAACGATTCAGAGAGAAGATCAAGGGAATGATCTACTGCATGACTCGTTCTTCAAACGAGATTCATATTACGAGGGAAACCCAGGAGCCCTTGCCGGCCAACAGCATCGCACACCCAACACAACTGGTAGAACTACGCTTTAAAGAGTAACGTGCCTCATATGGCAAATTAGAACATATTAGAACAATGGCGCAAGGCTGTTGCAATATTTTAAGCGTTGAGTTATCAACGTTTGACTAATATCAGTAGCCATATTTATCAACAGGATACTAGATATACAAGAGCCGTGTAAAATACATCATTTTTCCGATTAACTCGCCATTTCCAGTTTCAGTTTTCTTCAGCGTACTGGCAGCAATTCATAAGCAAAGCGTAATTCATCTCGTGGCTATTTGTAAAGCGAGTTTGAAATCAGTAAAAAGTTAATCTGGCATAGTTACAGTTTTCTCAGACCAGCAGCGAGGACCTACTTCCCATTTGCCACACATGTGGACCTCAGGGAAGCAATGAGAGTAGGTTCAGATCGCATTCAAAACGACCAAGATGCTGGAATGGAAGTTCCCAAAATAAATGGTAGTGACCTTTCAAATTCACTACAAAACTATATAGGCGGCATTTCTGAAATAAAGAGATAACCAGAGAATAGTGTTAAATCATTCAAATTCAATTGATTGAAAATACACATTATACGTATAACTGAAACATTTGCATTCTTGAAACGTAATTACCAAACACATACATTTTTCAGCGTCATCTTATTTCAACAGGCGTGGTTGAGTAATTAATTTTGTAAAGGCGTATATAGAGAGGAAATTAGCTTTAGGGTTAGGGGAAAGGCCAAACTAAACAACGTACCAGTGCAAATGCCAGATTCAAAACCTCACTGTTAAAAACCTCAATGCGGAAGGAACGTTATGGATGAAACTCTGAAGGGCAAACTCAGCACCAGCAATCTGACGCTCTCATGCGTTAGATGTGACGCTGCCCTAGTGTGGCATAGTATTAAATTAATAACTGACTTCAAAAGTGGTAAGGGGAAAATATGATACTGGAAGCTCATTGTCGCTTGATCGTGAAGTGAGAAGTGTTCTAGAGTCGTTGAGGGAATTCAACAATTAAAAGAGGCAACATCTTGATGGTACTTTATATCACTATCAAATCAAAAGATAGAATGAAAAATTAGAATATAGACAGAAAAAAGAATAGAAAAATATAAGTTGGTTGTATAAATGTTCAGAAAATAATAATAAAAGTTAAAGGATCTAATCATTATTATTACACTATGATGCCTACATTTTCGGGTAATCATGAAGACTCAGTTCGAAACCAAGAGAGTTTTGGTAGTGGGGATGAAGAGTAAAAGTGGCGAGATGAAATGCGGCTCACCAACTGGACACACAAAAAAAAGTAAACTGAAATAAAATAAAACAAAACTAAGCAAAAGCAATGCTAAAAATCGTGTGGCAAATTGGTGACTGAGGCAGTTTACCATTTAACCCGAAATTCAAGAAATTTCCGCTGGAACTTATATAGAAAACAACCTAAATGTGGTTCCGGATGGTTTGGGAAGCAACCTGTTAAGACTAACTGCCTAGGGACCGAGTCAAAAGGTGTTGACGCAATGCTTGAGATATTGCAAATTTAAGAATATGAACGCATTAAAAGCAGTCTCTTAGAAATTTACTTTTAGCTTTTAGTCAGATTGCAAGTTTTGCAGCTGAGCAATTTGCAGTTATTCCGCGTCATCAGGCAAAATCGCGGTCTCCCCAATTAGCAATTGGGCTTTTCCAGGGATGCAGCCTCTCTTAAACCAAACACTTGTTGTGAAATTGTGCTTAATTGAGAGAAGACCAAGGTGAGAGAGTTAATTCGCCATATAGGCCGTATACCCAAGATAATCGTTTTTAAGTTATTTTTGTCATGACACCCTGTTACCCGCGCGATACCTGAACAGCCAAAGCGGTTTACAAGCAAGCAATAGGGGTTTAAATATAAGCAGATGTCCCCTGTCCATTCAATAAACAACTGAATAAACGGTAGAGAAATGAACCGTCAGTAGAAATTAGCAAAAATGCATTATATTGTGCGAGAAACTAGGACGATAAACTAAATATGAGACTGANTATTTAAAACAGTCGCACAGAAGTTTGTAATACAATGTCAATATTCTCGGTACAAAGTTCTTGTCCGCTTGCTACTCGAACTCCTAGCTTCATTCCAAAATAGTTCAATAATATTTCTCGACTTTGTGTATACCAGCTCTTTAAAAAAATATATATCGTGTGTGATAACTGCTGCGAGCTGTTAACGCCAACACACGGTACGTAAGGCAACAAGGACACAGCAACTAAGGAAACGAAGAAGCAAAATTAGAGAGAAAGAATATAGTGAGTTTAGAAATCCCTGACTCGATCAGGAAGAGTTTCGCCCGATGGCCTGCGGTGATCTGCTGCTTTTTGTGCCTAAAGAGGAAAGTGGTATGTACCCTGTGAAATCAAATAATAACTGTCAAACTGTCCTCACTTCTGTTCGGCTTAAATAAAAATCTGATCGGGCTTAAAGAGTAAATTATTTTAGTGAGAACTCCCATAGACATCCATTTGGGTAAGTTTAAGGATTTTCATTTCATTCTATTATTATAATTATTTTATTACTATAGCTTTTTTTGTGCGACTCCAGGTGATGTTTTCAAATGCCACTCTTAAATCCGAAATGGCATCTGATTAAACAATAAAACTGAAATGTAAATATCCTTTCCGATCACAAGATGAGTGTTAATTATTTTCTATAACAATATCACTTCGAAAGAGCGACATTACTGGCTACAGCAGCTTGGTCAGTGATCTGGTTCAATGTTTTGCCGGATAAGTTCAAAAGGGCTTACTTTGAAACTATAACTGAAACTCGAATTCATAAAATCCATAGCAGCCAAAATTAGCTTACAGAAGCTAAGGTTGTCTTCTTGTTGAACAGGTAAGTGGAGTTCTTGATCAATCCGAAATGTCTTGAGCACTTTTCAGCTTTGCATTTGATATAATTTTTTGCAAACCTCCGACAACAGACGAAGGTTACAGTTGCTTCTAATTACTGTTTCATATAAAGAGAAGCATTCCTATTTTAATTTCATATTTACATCGTAAATTCTTTCCAGATTTAATTGAAATGACTAAATTTACGTGCACGTCTTTCATCAAATACCTCAAAGACCTATGAGTGATCTGATGTGGTTTCGATTAAACACATTCCGTTCTCGCAACATTGGGACTTCTCGTGGCAACTCACACTCACACAAAGAGTCGTTTTCGAAATGAATGCAAAATAATGATATGATTATAACTAGAACGAAAATGCGGTAAACCGACGACTCGTTTTGTGGTAAACCTTTGGTTCTTTTATTTTTTATAATCCATGGTTTGTTTAAATTACCTATTAGGCTATGGCAATTTTCATGAATGATTACGAGTGCACAAAATCCCACAATAGAGAGATTAAACATGACGTTACGCCAAACGGCAAACGGCAAAAATGAAACTTTTGCCGTCTGTCTTCAGCGGCCTGTACAGTAGAGTGATAATATTTGTATTTGCGGTGAATAGCAGGAGACATTTTTCTGTCTTTGTGTGATTCATTTGAGGATTACAAAAAAAGAATAAAAAATCAGAGGTAATCTTCGCCGTTCGACGTCTTCCGTGAACGTCATGCTTAAACTATCTCATGTTGAAACTGTAACAATTAATGGCAACGTGAACGGGCGCAACCATAAACGAATTGGCTGACAGTTAACCTAGTTCAGAAATTTGATTTGTGTCTTAAAGAGTTTATTTAAAAAGAAAATTTTATATTTATTAAAAATAAAAATACAAGATAAGATTGAAATCTTTTGCAATTTTACAATTTCCGTTTCTACTACATGGCTCTTAATTAAATATTCGTCGACTTATTCAGTTCGGTGCTGGCCTTAAAGTTCAGGTCTTATTTAATTGTAGATATTTTTACCTTTTTACCTTTTTGAAATGCATTAACAATTTTATCAATATTGGAAACTCTTTTAAATTTACGGTACCTGGAAAGCCGCGTTCAAGAGGTTTTTGTGTGCAAGGGGTGCATGCATATATGTATGTATCTGTCGCGGGTTTGTGGATTCAAATCCCACTGGGACAAAATTAATGGCCGTGGGATACTTCCTTGTGTGGGCTATAGGTTTTGGCAGTCCCAGTCTACGATTTTTTAATGGTTTTGGTCTGAAAAAGGGTGTTTTTAACTCTGGTTTAGCACTGCGTGTTTTGTTTCCAAGGAGCTTTTTTCCGCATCAATATTGGTAAACGCGTAGCCTTTCTCAAATGTTTACCCAAATCGAAGCCATTTCCGGTTAGCTGCAGTCATATTTAGAGCCGTGTAGTAATTTTAAAGATTTGAAATTGGATATCAATTCTTTCTTTTGCTCAGGTCTGAATTGGGGTGTGGAAAATCACAAATTTTGGTCTGAAATAGGGCACAGTTTTCGACGTTCGGGTCGCACACCCCCACAAAAAAACTAAAAACGCGAGGGCGAAAGCTCTTCAAAATTTAAAAAAAATACGCGAAAGGGCCACGCGAAGGTTTCTAATATTAAGAGGCAAAGTTTTTAACAGAAATAAGTTTGCCCTCTAACATTTCATTAGCATTCTGGCTTAATTTTGCTTTTATTTCCGTTACTTATTGACTTTTCAAGAAAATAGTGAAATCCAAGATGGCGGATCCAAGATGGCAGGTCAGATGACGTCATTTGACGTCATATGACTTCATAACCAACAAATAGTACACTGGACAAAACTGTTGTGGATCGACGCTTCACAACAAAAAATTAAAACAAACAAAATGGCACATAATTTTGCGATTGTCTTTACTAAACTCCACACATGGAAACCTATTTTTATATGTATCACGCAAGAAAGGCTTGCGTTACACCTTGTCCAAATTTGGTAACTGAGTCATAAAAGCACGCAGAATCACTTCTGAAAAAAAAAGAGTCGCATTTGGGGTGTTGCTTTGCGAAGAAACTCTGTACGTGCTGTTGGATTTTTTTTTTTGTTTTTTTTGTCAAGATTTCGACAAGCAAGCATGAGAAAGACTTACACCTTATTTGGGGGAAATACAATACTTTCTTCAGATTGTGATCTTCTTGAAGTCTTCTCTTCCGGCATTCTCGCCCCTAAAGGCCGCGCTCCTTTTGGTCCGCACCAAAAGAAGCGCAGCCTCTGGGAGCGAGAATGCATTCCAGCTCCCGAAATTGTCTTTGTACAGCGCATGCTCGTCAGGGGGAGAAATAGAGTTTGGCAGATGGAGGAGTGTGTATTTTTGTGACGTTTGCCCAGTCCATCAAATTTGAATCAATTATTTTGTAATTTGCATGATTTATGAATCGAGTTCAGCGCGTGTTTAGAGCGGCGTTTGCTGAAACGCTGAACCACTGTCGCATTATCCGACTTGGCAAGTTGAACCTATGCTAGAGTCGCAACAATTAATTTGAGTCGAATTTAATTGCAGCAAACGTCGCACCATTCATGCGTCTTTTTCAAAATTTATAGGTTCGACGAATTAAATTCGACTAAGATTCGACGTTTGCCCTAGGCTTTACTGTTCTTGCCGCATAATCGGTCTTCCACCTGTTTTGAAGATGGATGCCTTTAGCTCGCGCTTCGTACAAGCCACGATTACACAAAATACTGCTGTGTTAAAGCGTTGTCGACCAAGAACCTCAGACGCTGCTAGTTGTGCTTTAAGAAATGTTTCCGGACCTGTTCCTGGGCTCATCTACTAGGAGCTTGCCATTTTCTCGCATTTTCTTGCATAACAGTTTGAAATAACCTTGTTTAGTTTGCGCTGTGGCCCGTCAGGGGTAGCATCACAACTTGAATCTTTGATTCTGTAAACCGCAGATGTATCGCAGGAGATTATTGTGCTTTTNACACGTGACAATTTTCTTCGCACAACAATGTTAACACCGGTCTAACACTACGGTGTTGATGTAAACCGTAACTTTTCTTTTTCTCAGAAATGGCGTAATTTTCCATACCTTTGTGATTCAGTCCACAAATTTAGATAAGCTGTAACGCAAGTTTTCCTCGCTTGATCTACATGAAAATAACCTTCCATGTGTTGAATTAAGACAATCAAAAAATTATTTGCATCGCTTTGCTTGTTTCAATTTTTTGTCGTAAAACGTCGATGCAGAACAGTTTTGTCCGGCGTATTATGGTATCACCACAAGTCACCAAAGCGTAATACGAGAGTTCAGCTGCAATTTGATGAAGATAAATGAAAAAAACAAACAAACAAACAAAAACAAAACAAAACAAAACAGGTTAAGTGTTGACCAACCTTCGTGAAATTTGCGGTTGCCATGGCAAAGTCAAAAGTGATAGATACACAATGACATATCAAAATTTCCCCAGATGATGAATGAACAGCTACTGAAAGTTTAAGCCTCTAAGAGCAAAATTAATCTTCTTTTGACAAATTTGAAAAACCCTATGGGGGTGCTTTCCGCCCCTTCCCCTCTCCCTTCCCCTTGTACGTCGGAGTGTTAATTAGATTTTCTATATCCTTTCCAACTTCTATTCCAGTGCCGCCGGCGCAAGTTTGCATCCGCAAAATTTACAAGCAGATTTTATAACCTTTCTGAGTTTAAAAAACTGGTGACTGTTCAAACATAAAGCTTTAAAGCCGAACGCAAACAAACCTGAAAAGGAATTGGCTGTTAGGACGAGGAACATGATGTTATTTTTTATTTCTATTTTTTATTTTTTTTTATGATATTAGTCGTTAAAATTTCTGGTTAAAAGCAGAATTGTCTATTCATAATTCATATCATAGATGCTAACATTTTGAATTAGTTGTTCATTTCCCTGAGAAAAGTAAACCATGATCAAAGGAACACGAATATTATTGCTTTTAGTAATGGGTTGGTTTCTCCGTAATCACTCACCAGATCAAGTTTGCTGTTGATGTTTTTTCAGTCTGTCAGTTATGTCAGCAAACTGTATTGCTAACTTAATCTTGCGACGTTCTTAATTATTTACTGGATATCGGCCAGTACAAAACTATGCGTCCTTGTCATTTGGAGACATTCAGTGTGTTTCTTTTGTGGTTTTGGTTGTTCAAGAACTTCTCACAAAAACTGAAATGTTGCATGATGAAAAAGAAATTTTATTTCAGCAGTGCTAATTAAGTTAAACTAGAATATTTTAGGCATAAGCAATATAAACATTGTACTCTTTGTACTTTATCTTTGCCGTAATATTAAGAGAAATGACAAAGTGTTCACCTATGTCATAAAAGCAGGGGATAAGCACACTCCTCCACTGATTAAATCTTTGAACTAGAAACTGCTGTTTGCTTATTTCTGTCAATATAATATGGTTCAATGAAATTTCTTAGTGATACCCTTCCTGTTTGTGACGAGATAAGTTCATCCTTGAGCAGTAGGCGAGAACCAGTGAACACTTGTACCCAGAAGTTTTGGAATTGCGTCCAATATACGGTATTGGCAAACATCTTCCACCTACGCTTCTCACAGTCTTGATGTTAACTAACTGCATGGAGTAATTAATGTAAGTTGATGTGTTAAATCTTATTACGAATAACCTGTGACAATAATGTTACCGAGGTGAACAAAAATTGCAAAGAAAAAAAAAATACATGTGTGTCTTGAGTTCATGTTCCACTGCTTAGTTCTAGTTGTAATTAACTCGATTCAAGTACCACTATTTTTGAAGATATGTTCACAATTTAAAATGTTATACGTTCTCTTCTTTTTTCCGAAATTTTTGATCAGCTTTTTCGTGGTAGATTTTATCGCTGTCTTGTTGTAAAATATTGAAGATACGTTATTCCTCTGTTTTGTGAAATTTCGATCCGTTTTTTCGGGCTCCATTTTATAACTGTTCTGTTGTGAAATATTGATGATATGTTACTCTTCTTTTTCTGAAATTTCAATCGAAATACATGTCATACATACAGCCCACGCAAGGCAACTGAAAAATAAAGACGGCTTTCGTTAAGTATGGCAATTGGGAGTCTTTCTATTTTTGTGATTAATAAGCCAGAACTTTCACATAATCCCGAGGGGGTACTCCCTTATATGGGCTATATAGGTACGTGCGGCCCCAAAGGGTAGGGTTTTTCAGCAGTTTTGGTCATACATAGGGTATCAGTTTTGCCAATTTTGGTTATAAATATGGTATGGTTTTGTCACTCTGGTCTTTAATTGGGTATGTTTCTCAGAAGAAGCTACTATTTGATCATTATCAATAAGAGCGTCAACAAAAGCCCTTCATAACTTATGTTTAGGCCAACTGTGTCAGCCGCAGCTTTCATAAATAGGTTATCGAATTGTTGGTCAGGTCATAAATAGGGTAGCAAAAAACGCAGATTTTGGTCGTAAATAGGGTAAGGGTTTTGGGAAGTGCGCCGCACACCCCCATCCGTCCACTGCAAAACAATAACGTCAAAAGTCCAAGTTCTGGGTATTTTGGATAACGTAAGCCCTGACGGCAAATTTTTCGTATGAAGTAATTACGTTACAAGATCTGTTACAGAAGTGAAACAAAAACAAGCAAACAAACAAATATATGTTTCATGATAATAAGGACGACAAAGGGATAGTTGCTCGCCCAATTGATCATCCGGCATCAAAGAGTGTCGCATAGGTTCTGACCTCACCGTGTCTCTTATTCCTCAAATCTTTAAATAATAAAACTCATGGGCTTCTTTTCATTGCTTTTTCTTTTTGTAGATATCGAAATTGTATTTGACTGTAGATTGGGCTCCTATACAGTCATGATTTCCGAATCAGGTCAGGCTGCCATAATCGCAATACTTTCTATATTAGCCATCATCGACATCATTGGAAACTCCCTTGTCTGCGTGGTCATCACTAGGAATCCAGATATGAGGTATGTCGATACTGAAATGTCAAATGACGGATGCTACCTGCACTCTCAGCAGCATCTGTTATTACAGTGGAACCCGGCTTGTGCCTACGTCGTCATTATGGCCATATTTTTCTAGCCTGAACAAAAGCTCAGCCAGTCATGTTCTCATTTTAGAACCCCTTCGATACGGCCACCCCGTTAATATGGCCAGTGTTTTGTGGCCCGTTGGTGGCCGGGGTTTCACTGCACTTTTCAACATAGACACTCAATATCCTCTTTAAAGCAGGCTGAAAAATCAAAGCAAGGTCGTCTTTTATTGCGATGTAAATTACATGTTAACGACCTCGTGCTACCGGTACTCGCATTGTAAGTCTTGAAGTACGGTAACATGCGTTCCTGGAAACATCCACTATCGATCATTACCATTGCCACACAGTAAAAAAGGAAGTATATACAAAAACAACAGCTTAAACAGAGCGGGAAAGCTCCAAAAAAAAGAAAAAAAAACCCATCAGACGAGGCCATTCCAGTCGTTATAGTTTTCAGTTGTAGCTGAATAAAATTGATTGTGTCTGCTGATATAATTAATATGTTCACTTATGAAATCTTACTTGCTGTCTATTGCTTGGCCAAAAATTTTGCTATAAGCCATATGTTATTAATATACTTTTTTATCATTTATTGAACTTATTAGGCAATTTCGGTTTCGACAAGAGGAATTTCCCCGTGTTTTCTGGAATTGTTCTTATGTTTGCAATTCAATTCTGTAACAAATAGGCTGTGCATTGTTAAAAATAAATCAATTATTTCTTTCACATATCGTTTAACAGGACTCCTTTCAACTATCTGCTTGTAAACTTAGCCGTGGCGGACATGATGGTGGCAGTGTTTTTTGCGCCTTTCCACATTTTTATCCACACGTTCACCCACCCAGGTGGTGTCCTCGGCAGAGTGTTATGCAGTTTGGTGACGGGTGGAGGCTTCGCATGGGTTGGAGGTGCTTGCTCGGCCTTCACGCTGGTTGTCATCGCAGTTGAACGTTATTACGCGGTGAATTATCCTCATGGTAACAAAGGAAAACTCACCAATGCCAAATTGAAGGTGAAATATAGTACTTTGGATCACTTGTATCTTTAGGTTGGATGGGTCAGTGGAATCCATGATCACTGATTTCGATTTTGGGACACCTTACCGCAATGAAAAACATAAAGGGCTTCATCTTTATTCTTGATTTATATAATATTCTTCTCTGTAATAAAATATCTTTTTGGTAGCCTGGCGAAGTGCTAGTTGCATTATCTCAGTAGAAAGTGCTTGATTTACAAAGTTAAATTTAATGTGTTACTCAAATAAATTGAAAAAGAAATATAATTACAGAGTCAGTATCACTTTTACAGATTGATAATGTGATGTACCAGTACGTTTAAAAAACACGTCAAGGGATGTTAATTGCATTTCAGGTAATCATTCCTGCTTCTTGGATCTTTGCAATAATCATGGAAAGTCCAGGGTTCCTGAGTTCGGATTATAACGAGACTCTTTCCATCTGTACTTTGGCGTTTCCCGATGAGTGGATGGGAAAGGCTTTCAGCGTGGTATGGTTTCTGGTGTTTGGAGGTCTTCCCACACCATTAATGGCTTCATTTTACTCCACAGTGGTGTACAATCTGTGGTTCAAACGTAACGATCAAAATGAAATTTCCTACCAACAACAGGTATGACCAGAGGTCGTTTTACCCCTATTTCATTTAGTGTTAACAGTATCGCTTAAATAATAACATGAAGCGACTAGGAGTATTTCTACTCCCCCTGGATGGAGTGCTCGTCCATCGTAGGGTTACCCCCAGCATTAAATTCGCCGGTACCCATTTATACACCTGAGCGGAGAGAGACACTGTGAGAGTAAAGGAGAACACAACACAATGTCCCCGACCAGGGCTCGAACACGGACCGCTCGATCCGGAGACGAGCGCACTAATCATCAGTGCTCCGCACCTCAACATTGAGAAGAACATAACAAAGCAAAATTCGCAGTTTAACACAACGATCAAAATGAACTTTCCTACCAACGGCTGGTATTACATTTGGTGCTGTTCATTCTGCCTTAAAATTGCTACGATGCTGATCTCGTCATTTCTTTTTTCATTTGATCACTTAACGTTCGCATCTTGGTCCCGTCGGTATGAACGACTCGCAATAATCTGTACCGTCCCGCGAGTAAAAATATTTTACTTACGTACCTTCCATGCGCAAATCGCCGTTCTCATTATGATCAATTCATCACTTAACGGATGTGCCCTATGTGGTATATTTATTTGAAATGTTAATATGTTTTTAACCGGTTATAGATATACGTAACGTGCCATCAAATATTGAGGCTAATGAATAAGATAAAAGAAAAATCGCATACCCCTTCTTTTTTTCTACATGTATCTACAATCTTTACGACTTGAATTTCAACACTGTTTCATGACGTAACAGAATTGTAGCTATTGATGTTATTGATTTGGCCATTCTTATAGTGATGTGCCATGATGAAAATTATGATATTGGCATTGTTTAAATAAGACAAGACCTATTCAGAAAAAAAATATATATATTGCAAAGTCAGCAAAGTGAATTCCCATTAATACAATGCGTCGGGTGCATCAGTGACAATCATTTCGCTCAAACAGCTTGAGCCATGGCCTAAAAATACAAGACTAATGTAGTGATTACTGACATTGTCTATTTACACATAATCAGTAACCCGACACTGCTTCTTTCTGTTTATTTTCAGGGAGTACTCAAGATACGCAAGCGTGTAACTTTGACAGCTGTAACCGTCAGCGTCATCTTCTCGATCTGCTGGATGACTGACGCAGTTATCTTCCTGTTAAGCTACCATAGTACCACCAGCAGCCCAAGTGATGTCACCTGGGCAATTGCTGCCGTGATGATCTTGTTCAATTCTGCCATCAATCCTTTTGTATATGCCCTGATCAACGAACGATTCAGGGAAAAGATCAAAAGATTGATAGGCTACAGGTGGCGTTCAACAAACCAGATTCAGGGTATAACGGGAACCCCTCACATCAATCTAGCCACCAGCTCTACTCAGCCAACCCAAATAACGGCAGAATAGTGCTGCGGGGATTGACGCATAATAACGATAATAACGATAATAACGATAATAACGATAATAACGATAATAACGATAATAACGATAATAACGATAATAACGATAATACTGATAATACTGATAATAATGATAATAATGATAATAATGATACTAATGATAATAATAACAATAATTAACTAGAGAACACAATTCGCCAAGGAGGTTTTCAGTGGGGCCCTAAAATCCATTCAATATGAACAAACGTAGTGCTGGTAAAGGTTACAATAAGTTCACTTTTAGGTTACTGACTTAAATATGGTCGGTGACGCGACTTTTGTGGATAGCTATAGCTTTTTTTTCGCCTTTCCATATTTTCATCCACGCGTTTAATTTGATTAATAGATCCATTCAGGGGTGGAAGTTGGGGGGAAGGGGGTAGAATGGATGGCTAGCGACCCCCTTTTAGCAAAGCAAATAATAAAAACAAAATCAATTGAAAAAATTGTGAAATGTTATAGCAGAAATGGAGGCAAACACTCTGGACAGGGACCAACTTGTAATTTCTACTTTGTAGCATTGCGAGTATTTCTCGGATAGTGGTTTTCAATTAGGTTCCAGTCCTCAAAATTCAACATTTTTGGGGCATGCGCCATTGATTCTTCAACACAAAGGTAGCAACCTTCCCTTTCCCCTTGAAAAATCCTTCTCTTGCCCATTTATACAGTGAGGGCAAAGAAAATAGAATTTCAAAGATTTCAGTTCATCATTGCAAGACTAGAACCATATTAGTTAAATGGACATCTTACCAACCCGGCGAATTCAGTAACCTCTCATTTCTTGTTCATTTTGAATATCTGACATGAGTTACTGATCATGTAATTGTCTTGGAAGAAGTAGAAAAATTGAAATATCGCTAGTTTCGCTAGAAATCCCTTAAATGCCCAATAGATATTTCTTTTATCCAGTTGTCATATTTCTTGATATAAGATTATCCAGACAAATGAATTGTCAACTAAACCACCACCAGAATTTGTAGATGTAGTGGTAAATTAAACAATACGTTCTTTATTGTTATCGTGTTTTGTCATTGTAACATACTGCTGCTGCCAGTTAAAGGTCACTATCACTGATTTGCAGCTATGTATACCTATTACATAGGCTGATAAAGTTGTATTAAAATGAGTGTTAATTAAGCTTGCGTTGTTGATGAGGTCATTCTTAGTCATTAGTCATGATTTTTGTTTTGTTAAATAAGACTTCTGCTGAAAATCAAATTGCAAACAAAAATAAGATGTATAGAAAATAACTAAATGCAGTAATTAATTGGATTAAACTAAATTACGAGAGAGCGATAGGGTCTGATTCAACTAGAGAGCTTGCTGGTTTGCTTATGTCCCTGATTGGCCAGAAAGGCTCCGTTCCGATGTATGCGTTAACATTTTACCTACAAGAGACTGATCTGGAAATTTAACGTAAAAACTTGAAATAAATTTTCTTTAATGAAGCTATAGCTTTTCTTAAGTTATATCTGCTTTTCCTAAAATATTTAAATACTTGGTTAGTTCACTTATTTTTCTTTTTTGTAAGGTGATGATATTCAGCGCACTCATCATTGAAACTATTGAAGTTAGACCGTAATTGAAGCAATTGAAGCTAGGAAAGACTTAATTACAGTTTCTACATCTGATGTTTACACTGCAAGCGAGAGCAATTTTTATATGGGACAAATTTTATGTAACAAATATGTTTGACCGTGTAGATGGCACAGGAAATAATTTGTCAACAGTTCAAAGCTAAGTGCGCCAGTATTGACTTCCTACAGCAGACACACGCAGGAACAAGGCGGAGGTGCTTAGTCTCCCCCGAAAAAAATATAAAAGGTAAGGAAACCCTTTTTTTTTTCCTTCTCTCTCTCTCTCTTTTTTTTTTTTTTTTTTATTTATTTTCTTTTAAACATTTCTTCTACTCGGTCCTATTTACATTAAGGACTTTAAGATATGGTATGGTTAGGCTGTAGTACGGCGGCAGATAGTGAGGATCGCTTCAGCTGACGCCATGACGCGCGTGCCAGTACGGCTTTCCCGCACTAGCCTTGCTTTCTACTGCGGGAAAGTGCCTGGTTTCACTTACTCTTCAATACGTGAGTATAAGCCTGTTTACTTCTCATTTTAACGCTTTTTTCACTGTCTGAACAGCCTAGTTTGAGGATAAAGTTCTCACTCAAAAATCAGTTCTAAGATTATTGTTTCTTTGTCATTTGTACAGAAAATTTTGAACGATTTTAACACCTAGCGCGAGATGATCAATTCAGTCATATTAGTATCGGGCCGAACAGCCGTAGATAAGAAAGCTCCGTATGTTCTAATCTGAGGTATAATTGTTTATGACTGATCAAAATGTATATTTTATTATAAACGAAAGTTTTGTATTTTCGGGCTTATCACGTAATCGTTGTACAAACAACCTGTCCGTGTTGAAATCAAGCTTTTTTATATCACAGTTTATATTTTGTTTTGTGGTTGGAATTACAGGCGGTTCTATTAAGTTCTAAAAGGCAAATCTGAGTTCTGGGATATGTAAGACGGATACAGGAGAAGGAAATCATTGTAATTAATCAAACCTATTTCGTATGGAAGTAGAATAATCTCTGGTTTCCTTGCAAGTAGTCATTCTTTGCAAAGACACGTAGAGACTGCACATACCGTTGCTGTACAGCAAAATCTTAATCATTTGAGCTTGGCGGGTAAAACATCGTTGTCAACCTAGTCCCTCACGGCCAAAGTAGCCGTAGCAGCACCTCGCCGTAGCGTATCTTAAAGTCCCTATCATTACAGGTACGGCAGAACCCCGCCTGAGGTCACTTCCTTACAGGGTCACTTTGTTATTACGGCCACTCTTTTTGTCACAGCGAAACGCCCATATATTCCTTACAAGGAAACCCCGTTAATATGGCCAAAGGCCACCTTTTGAAATCACAACCTGTATAATCGTTAAAAATTTTACCCCGTTACCACTCAAACCAAATATCTATTCCAAATATGACAAATATTGAGGAACTATAACAGAAAGATGAAAATTGATACCTTACAAGTCTGGCTTTTGACACACGTCTCTCAAATGAAAGAAAAAACTTCCTCTCCCGGGACACGAAGTTTTTCTCTCATTTCTGCAGAGACGAGTGTCGAAAGCCTGACTTGAAAGTTATTAACATCTTTCTATTATTGTTTCTAAGGCTTTCCTGGTTCAAATAGTTCCTCTTCTACTTGTTACATAGCCCCGATTGTCAGGAGAAGAGCCATGAAACACACAAATTTCTTGAAAGAAAAATGTCCCTTGGATTGGCCGCTTTCTATCTACTCACATCACTAAGCTGCCACATATCCAGCGTGATTGCCCCGATAGTGTAGTGGATATCACGCCCGACTAGTATTCGGGGAGATGCGGGTTCGAGTCCTGCTCGGGACACCCAGTTTTTCTTTCATTTCAGAGACGTGTTTCGAAAGCCTGACTTGTAAGTTATTTCGATCTTTCTGTTATTTTTTCTAAGGCTTTCCTGGCTCAAACAGTTTCTCTTCTACTTATCATGAGGAATTGGATACGGTTAATGCACTGATACTGATCCTGAGGGGGATTCTAGAGGGTCTAGACTATTTTTTATGTCATCAAAACTGTAAATATATGCTGTTAAAACAATCAGTGTCAGCAGCAGTTGGAATACGACCCTCTTTTCCCCCAAGTAATGTTGGAATGCTCAATTCACCTGAACCCCGTGCTCTGTGGTTTTAGTTTCTTCACAACATTGAGAGATTTGAGAGGGAGCGATCGCGGATCAAAACGTCATAGTACCAACAATGTGGCAGTGATTGTAGGTCGAGATCTTTTTTAAAGACCTAGTTCCCGGCCATCTTTCTCCTTCAGGCCTCGTTAGGTTGCATGGCTGTATGATTAATTCTGTTAGGGACCTCAATACTCTCAGTTTCCCTTGCAACTTGAATCCTGTTTGCAGAACGAAAGGTACTGCACAACATTCTCTTGACTTTACCACGGAATGGTTGGTTAAACAGAGCATAAAGAAACGGATTTACGGCTGAATTGAGCAGAGCCATTGTGGTGGAAATGGCGACGTGTCCAGTGTTTCGGGTGGTGAAATGTTTTAAGACGTAGGTAATTGAACTTGTGCCCCAAGAGATTCCAAAGATTGAGCTGACAGTTATGACCATCAGAGTGACTCTCTTCCGCACCTTCATAACACCCTGTGCATAGAGATTCATATTTTGATTAAATAAACAACTTATAGATCGATAAGCGACAAAACACCGCTTCCTTTTACCGCATCCTTTCACATTCCATCCAATATTAACTGCCCAGGATTGATAAGGGCCGATAAGGATTCTGGCAATTTCAACCAGTGACAGAATACATCCGGTACTTTTAAAGGGAAATTATTCATTAACTCATACCTTTTGTTGGTGGGTAATTTCATCGTCTTCATCATTTTTGCACCACAAAGCGTACACAACCGTTGAGTACAAGCCAACCATCAGTACCAAAGGAAGAGCAGTTGTGGCTAAAAGCCAAGTCAAGCTATAAGCCTTGGCCATCCACTTACGACGAAAATTCTCCACACAGCTTTCGATATTCTTGTCATAAATCGTAATCAGGAATAAGGGTAAGGTGAAGACAAGTGAAAGGATCCAAGAACCAGGTATGATCACCTGAAATCGTAATGTGTAAAATGGAAGCGATCACCAGCCAGTCCCTTGAGGTTTCATTTTCACAAATGGAAAACAAATCCACACAGTTTGGCCAGCCAGTTTACTAGTTCTTCTGTTTGCTAACAGCATAGACGATAACCAAGCAGTAATCCAAACATAACGGAAGATAAAACATTTTGTTTCTTCCAAGATACGATGAAAGAAAGTGCATGATTAATGCGTCAATACTCACCTTGAGTTTACGCTTGGTAAGATTTCCTTTGTTACCAAGAGGATACAT